AAAAAAAAAAAAAAAAAAAAAGACAGGGAAAAATTCTTGAGTCATCACTCTTAGCAGTGCTCCGTTGCTGCTCCTAATTTTCTTGTCCATCTCTGACTACCTCTGTTTCTTTGATTAATAGCATTTGCCATGCTAACAGCCACCTAAATTCACAGTATTTCTCCAAGCCTAATATATTGCAAAGTAAAATTGTAAAAATTTATTGTATTGTTTTTATTTGTGATGTAATTTTTTATACTTTATTATATGCTTTCTTTGTAGACCACCTTATATATGAGCTAGATTTTCCTGTTTTTCTATTAAAAATGCACAAGGAATCTAAGAATGAGTGTTAAACTATGGAGGACTTTAAGAGACTGAGTTTCTTCCCTAGTTAGATCATGTTCATGAAGAAGGAAAGGGAGCCTCCTATTTATCTTTTTAAAAAAAGTAAACAACTGGTGGATAATTAAATAAGAACATTGTTGGACTCAGATGACAGGTTTTGAAAGAATGCCTCAGTCACAACAGACTGATGTGATGCACACTTCACACATTCCACACTTAGAACACTTCCTGGTTTGAGACACAGTGCTTGCAGCAAGAGTAGACTCAACAAGGCTTCATGTAGTATGGGTAACAACACTCCTTAATCTGCCGTTGGCATCTGCTGTGGTTAAAAGAAGAAAGGCCTTCCACCTTCTTTCTGGCACTGATTGCAAGTTTGCAGCATTCCCAGCTCTTACTGGCACAGAGTTCAAGGGCTAGGGCCGAGTTTCTTACCTGAGACTCCACTCCCCACAGTGCAGAATAATATCAAGCAGCCAACAGCCTCAAATTACCCTTAAGAATTTTAGGAAGCTACCATTTAATGAGTATCAGGTTCTTTGACTTTTTGTTTTTAAATATGTAGAGCTGCTGCTTCTACAAATATTTTCATTCAGTTTATATGCATAACAAGAAAGATGTTACAGCAAAGCTAAAGAATGTTGACCCTATCCATATATGGTGAAATTATGTATCTGCTAAAGTTACTAAGGTTTTATCCTGCTTATTTATAGAGTCATTTAATTTACCTATAATCTTATAGCTGTCTTGGGTCTGTTTTACTAAGTGAAATAATCTAGTTATTACCAACTCGAACCACTTGTACATGAGAATGTTACATATACATATTACTATCTCTATAGCTACCTAACAATCAATCTATCTGAAATCTCTCTCTAAGGTGTATAGACCCTTTATATAATCTGTAATTGAAATCTAATTAATATTTATAATCAGAGCTAAACACTTTCCTGAGGATTTAGTAGACAATACTAAAAGTAGGTCACCAGCATCTAAGTCTTCCTTATCCCCTCATCACAATCCCTGTCAAATCTCTCTGCCATCATTATTTGTAATAGCATCCTTTATTTGCTTTTTCTTGTTATCCTGAGCTCTATATTCCTACTGAAAGGTGCAATGCAGGACCAAGAAAAGAGATCTCTTCAGCTAACCACTACAGCCATCTCAATTTGACCTATAGAATGGACTTTCTAGGTTATTTCAATGCCATGTTGGTTTATGTTTACAACTAACTCTCTGAAAATATAAAAATAACTGATTTGTAGCTTTTAGCAACATTCATGGTGTAAATACTCTCAACATGGCTGATAGTAAACTACCAATGTGAGTTGGGAAAGGATGGGAAGTAATTCAGCATTACATAGTCTTTCCACTATACACTTAAAACACACATAAATAACCTCAAAAGCATAAACAGTAGTAGGCACAGAGAGTAGTAAAATGTATTCAAGTAATTAGGAAGCGATGAGTTTTTCTTCTTTATTAACTTTGTTTTAGTTTCCCTATATAAAAGCTTATACAGTGCAATTTTTAAAATAATGGCTGTGTTTAGCAACCAGTTTGCAAAATTCTCAAAAATTTAACAATTGTCTCTGCACATTGGAATTGGTTTGCACCAGGACACTTGTGTTTCATAAAATTATTGGAGGGTGATCATTAATTATGGTTAAGAAAGAAAATAAAGACTCAAAGCCAGAAAACGTGCAGTTTTAAGTTTAAGGGTTGGGCAAAGCCATAATTTGGGAAAATGAGTCCCAAGGTCAGAAAGCAGGAATATTACTGAACCTGTGACCTGTGTTATGCTAGTTTCCTAGGATTTCCATAACAACATACCATGCAACAGCAATTTAGTGTCTTACAGTTCTATAAGTTAGAAGTCCGAAATCAAGATGTGGGCAGGGCCATGCTCTCTCTAAAGCTTCTAGGGAAGGATTCTTCCTTGCCTCTTCC